GCATGCATGCATGCGGATGGATGGATGGATTGATGGATGGATGGATGGAGGTACGACCAGAGAGGTTTCTCCGTGTGTGTATGCGCGAGTTGTAGTGTCTTGAAATCTAGCTCAATGGCTCAATATAATGCCACATTCTCATATAGAGAAACAGGCACAACAGCGCGAGCTTAGCTGTCTTTCGGTTTGATGGTGAACTAAGCTGCAGCATCCTTTTTTTACGCTTAAAAGACTTCAGTTGGACCCGTCACGCATTCATCGAAGCTCTCCCCCTCCCCAAGCCTAAACACCCGAACCGGTCAAGTCTTAGACCCAAAGCCCCAAGTATTACATCCCAGCCTTGCTCATCTTTCTGCCCTACAATCCCAAGACATCGCGGAGCCCCAACCCAGACCCTCAACTGACGTAAACCTGACCTTGGGGCTTCATATAAAACCCTTCTATAGGCTCACTTTGAAAGTTTGTGCAGTTCTCCTTAAACTGGGTTCAGGATTGGGGATCCGAAACTGCAGGTGCCATGGTGAGCCTTTCCTCTGCGACCTACCAGCCTCCGTGCGCCCGTTTGTGGGAGGGGGTTTGTTGTTACAAGAGAGTTTGTAAACGATTCAGGCTTTAGGCTCTTTATAAGAGCTTCACGAAGGCCTTTGTAAGTGTTCTAACTATAGATCTTGGCGTGTTTGGGATTCTCTTGGTCTCTGGCGTTTCGGGGCTTCGGAGCTAGAAGTGGGGGTCCAGGTAAGGTAAGCCCTAGGCCCTAGGCGCTGAGCTGCAGACTCTAAACCCGCTTGTCCCTAAAGCCTGGACAAACTGCTCAACCCCTAAATGCCTAATTACTAAACCCCTGAAGGGAATTCTAGCCCCTAAGGCCCTAAGCAGCCCTGTAAGCTTACTTCGAGGTATGTGGCCTTGCTGCCCAGCTGGAACCCGGCGCCCGACGGCTGCAGCCGCTGCGGCTTGGCCCCTCGGTTGCGCTATGAGACTTCACCTGTGGCTTGAAGGATATGTTTCGGGGGAGCCCCTAAGCCACAAACCTTGAATACTAAACCCCTTTAGTACTATACCATGAACCCTAAATACAGCGCCCTTTTGGTACCAAGCCCTTCAAAAAGGAACCCTTCAAAAAGGAACCCTGAAAGGAGCCCTACTCCAACCCTTCAGGCCCCCAGGTTTACGCTGAATCCGAATCCCAGGCCGGCCGGGGTGTGGGCGTGGAGCCGTCACGTCTTGTGCCCGCTGACAAGGTCATAGGCTTATACCATCTTATACCTGTAGTCTCCATTGTAGTTATTTTTTGGGGGGCTTATATAACTGGTTCTATGTTTAGGATCCTCTAAGCTAACTACAATGGGGACTTCGGGTAGGGTTTTGGGTGTTTGCAACGGCTTTTCCAGGGGTGAGTAATGTTCTTTTAGGGCTCTGGCTAAGGGCAGGAGGTAGGATTAGCAACTGTCCAGACCTCGATCTGTTTTCGGATTTAAGGGGGAATGAGGCGTCTGCTGATTTGGTTTGTTTATCACTCGAAAACCCCATGAACCCTAAGTTTAAACCGCAAGACCCTGAACAGCCCCTCGTGACGTGCATAGCAATCGTACTACAGCCGCCGCTGCGTCTTCTGCCGTGGTTTCGGGGTTTAGGGCTCATTGTTCCTATCCTCGTTTTATTAGACGCCAATTACTGTAGCTACAATTACGGGCCATGGACCCTCTATTATTCGACCCCACAAGAATCCCTAAACGCTAAACCCATACTATTCCGAGCCATATACCCCCCCCCCCCCATTCATGGGCACAGGGAGGGCTTGGGGTCGTTTGGAGATGACCTTCGCGCTCAAACTCCAACTTGTGTTTGTGTGCGTGTGTGGGGGTTTAGGGTTTAGGGCCAAAGACCCCAAGCCCGATAAATCGAAACATCTACAACCTTAAAGACAGAGAAATCACACTTAGATTGCCGGATTTGCGGAACTGAGTCTTTCGATGCCAGCTGATCCTGCACACAGACAAGTGTAAGATTCTCCGAGCGTAAACGGTCCTACAACAACCTAGCCGCCAACGACAAAACACCTAGCACTTAGAGCCTCTTTCATAACTCTATTGTAGTATGGCCCAAACCGGATTCTGATTACCAGGGCCCCGATACGGGGGTTTCCGAAAATGGGGACTAGGACCCTTAGTATAAGGACAGGTACCCTGATTTTCGGAAAGTCCCATATTGGACTCCAAACGCCAACCCCTGCCAGAAGCAAGCGCAGCTGGAAGCCAACTTCGGCCGCAAGGCCGGTGGAGGAGTCGGGACTTGAGTGTAAGAGTAGGAAAGAGGTTGAGGACTGCATATCGATGTTCTAAGCTTTCGTTTTTAAATTAAGGCTTTGTAAAGGTTCTATAAGGCTTAGAAGGCTTCTTTTAGGGTCTACATGCATGTATGGGGTTCTAGGCTTAGAAGAAGGCTTTATGATGTATTTGTTTAGAGTTCAGGATCCAGGGGTTAGGGTGTAGGGTTGAGGATGTTCGTTTAGGGTTTATGGGGGTTTAGCGGCACCAGCGCCAGTGAGGGGTGCTGAAGGGTCTTAGAAGCTCGAGGTGTGGGTTAAGAAAGGCTTCCCCATGTTTGGACTTGGGCCTCGGGCGTTGGTCGTTTGGGTGAGGCTCTGGGGCTTCGGGTTTCTAGGGTTTATAGGCTTTATAAGGTTCAGGGTTCAGGGTATAGGGTTCAGGGTTTAGGGTTTATAGTTCAGGGTTTAGGGTTTAGGGCTTGGGGGTTGGGCGTCCGTCCAGTTTGTCTCTGGGGGTTCGGGGTCCCGGATTTGCTCTTCTAGCACATGCCATAGGAACCCACGCTCATCCATTACTCCAGGTGGGTGTATTTTGGGTGTTGCTGGAACTGAGCGTTGCGTGTATGCTTGAACTTATGCATACCATCTTTTCAAACTTGTGAAGAGTACTTCGCCGGATGGTTTTTTGGCCCAGGCAAATCCTTTGCAGTTAAGCCCTAACCCAGCCCCCCCAAACACCGAATGAACCCGGTCCCGACAACTGGAGTCACAGACTTCCTGAACAAAAATTGAGGAATCATGTTTGGCAGCACCTGGATGTCCTCGTGGTGAACATACTACTCAGAGTCTTTATTTGGAGTTCGGTAAACAGATTTTTCTGAGTCTTTGTTGGGGTCTTTCAGTTCCCGACAAGGCACGAAACTCAAACCCTGCATAAACTCCGAGCCCTACTGGATGATGTAAGTCCTGCATTACCCTAAGGACCCTAAACGATGGGAATATGCATGGTATATTCCTTGCTATGGGTAATGCAGGATTTATATCATCAACCGTCTTTTGGGTGTATGTTCGGACTCTCGGAAAATTTCTCCACAGCTAGAAGTCCAGGGCTCTTCCAGGAGCTCGGTACAGTTTCGAGGGTCCTTGTTGAACAGTCTGAAGAATCCCAGCCAACTCTCCACATGCAACAGCTCAGTACGAATCCTTGTCGTTTAAGGTGTAGGGGTTTAAGGTTTGGGCTTTCGGAACCCCACACAGCACTTAGTCTAAACCTTGGTGTATCGAAGCCTAGCTCCACGCCTTAATCCTAAGCAAGCTTTCGGCAGCTCCCGACTCCTTCGCTGAAACATCTAAAGGCCCTGAACCTGCAAGAACTTTCAATCCCTAAGTACACTGAACGCCACGAAAACCCCTAAGCACACCACCCAATCCCCGAAAACCCGCCCAGGCAGCCCTAACCCTAAAACCCTAAACCCTAAGCTCCCTAAACCCTAAACCCTAAACCCTAAAGCCTAAGCCCCTAAACCCTAAGCCCTAAGCCCTAAACCTCGTCAGGTCTACTTGGGCACCGGGAAAATTGAGATCTCCCGGGGTGCCGTCCTCGGCTGACCCTGGCTCTGTCGGCCTTCAGCCTCTGTCTTAGGGCCCACAGGGTCCGACAAGGGCGGACGGTTTGGGATTGAGGGGTCTAGGGGTCAGGGTTGAGGGGAGGGAGCGGTTTTCTAGGGGGATTGGGGACATTCCGGGTCCTTGGTGGGGTTGGCCTAGGACCTGGTCTTCTCGAGGTCCCCAACCCCCTCCGGTCTCTTTTTTTGGCCTTGCCGCGAGGCTGCGGCCCGTGAAAAGTTGTGAGGTGGGTTTTAGCGAATGAGGGGGTTTAGGGGTTTAGGGTTTAAGTATGATGAACCGGAATCGCACCAAATGAGATGGCATGCTTAAGACATATGATATATGATGAGGGGCGTGTTTAAAATATGTGATGAACCTCGGTCGCCAAATGAGGGGACATGTTTAGGATATATGATGAACATTGATGAACAGGCATCGCCCAACAGGGTGAGTGTGCCTGTGTCTGTGCATAAGGCATGTTAGGATCCGGAATTGCCACGTGATAGGAGCGTGTTTAAGATGTATTATGATGAGCTCGAATCGCCACATCGAATCGCCACATGCAAGGGCGTGTTCAAAACGTATGATGAACCGGAATCGCCAAATGAGGGGCATGTTTAAAAGGTATTATGAAGCGACAAATGAGTTTGCGTGTTTAAGATATATGCTCAACTACAACAGCAACAATCACGATTGATCTGGAGTGTCTGTATGTGATGTATGTGTGCACAGAATGCAAAGTCATGTTTGCACTCTTTCGTTTCTAAGTTTTCGCACGAACTATGCTGGTTCACATATGAGAAGACCTCCAAAGGTATGCATCACGACACCATCGACAATGCTTCACGTAGTATATCAAACTCCCTGTCAGTGTTTTGCGCTGCTTCGTCAGCCCCCCCACCCAGCTTGTTTAAGCCGTGCAAGTTCGCTTCAAAAAAGGGGCGTGTTTAAGAAGCATGTTGAGTCGGACTCGTCACATGAGGGGCGTGTTTAAGATATATTTTGATGAACCGGAATCGCCAAAGGAGGGGGCGTTGTCTATGACGGAATCGCCACATGAAGGGGCTTGCTTAACATGTATGATGAACAGCAATGGAGAATTGATTTCGCCGCGTGTTTAAAACATACGACGGACCGGAATTGCCCCTGCAAGTTGTAATCCCTGAATAGTTTAGGCCAAAACAGGACCTTGCAAATTGTAATTCCCCAACTGCCTGATGCAGATCAAGCTTGACGCAAGACAGGAGCCTCGAACTTGTAATGCATCAACAGCTTGGGGCAAAGCAATACCTTGCAAATTAGAACTCCACAGTAGCTTGACGCAAAGCAAAACCCTGCAAATTGTAATTCCCCAATAGCTTTATTCGGATGCTCGAGATTGTAATCCCCCCTAACAGCTTGGGGCAAAATGCAAGTTGGAACTCCCCAGTAGTTTGGCACAGCGCCAAACCCTGCAAATTGTATAGTTTAACGAGAAGCAAGACCCTGCAAATGGGGGTTAAGTACGGGTTGAGATCTGAGGGATGTTGGGGGTTTAAAACTTATCTGGACCCCAAAATTATGTAGAACAATCTTTTTTTTAATAGGGTCTTGGGCCAGTATTTTACCTACTTTTGCGGGCTTCCGTATGGTGCAGGTTGAACGGGTGCAGGGTAGACGGGTCCATGCTGCACTGCCCTGGGCCCTAAACCCTATGCTTCAGTGCTAGATCTCATGTGCGCTGAAGGGGAGCTCCCTAGCTGACTGATATCCGGATCGCAAACGCGAAAGTTTGCGCACAAAACGCTTCGAAGCAACAACAGTTCCGGAAATGATTATGTGTTGCAAGTATCCTGAACCTAAGTATATTAAAACTGATGCCCTAAACTCAAAGTACCTTGTCCCAGGCGGGTTTACGACGCTGACAATGAATGCAGCCAGCTCCCCGTGGTTTCAGGCAGGTCGAAGATCTTCAGGTGTTAGTTTTCCATGGCTTGTCTATTAGGACCTACATTGATATGCTTTGTAGGGTCCCCACAAAGCCCACACCGCTTGGAGTCCCAATATCAAATGGTGTCAGAGAAACCCTACAATCCAAATCTCGAGCTCCAAAACCCTAAGCCCAAACCCTTGGCAAGATCTTGCTGTTTTGGATGCCTAAAAGAGCCTAAAACCCAACCCTGGACGTTGACCGGGACCTGGTATTTTGACAAGTTACACAAGGAAGCCTTGCCGGGTTTAAGTGAAAGCTTTGGTGGGGGGCCCATGGTCCAAAAGCTGCTGACGTGGTGGGGCTGCTGATGCTACAGCAACTCTTGACTGGCTTGTTGCGACGAGGATTTTGGACTGATGCGGTTTCCGATTTCGCATGTACGGTACTGGGGCTTCATGTGTTGATGTACCCCGAGCATTGAACTGCATCTAATCATCCCCCGGGACCTTTGCTCATGCTAGGTTAGGAGCTACTGTGCGACCTTAAACCCTCAAGATGAATACGCAGAAGGCTTCGCAGATGAGCGTAACTCCTCCGGGCAATCTCCCTGCATGCATGAGAGGACCCAGGGTGGTGTTTCTGAGCCTTTTTGAGGGCCTAGGCGGAAAATTTTTTCTGTAAAATACACGGTGTAATCCTTGAACCCAAGACCTAAACCCTGCACCATACAGCCCTGAAGCCTAAACCCATAAGACTTCGACACTATAAACCCCAAGCCTTAAACAATGCGAGCACATGGATGGTGCCTTCGAGTGTAAGTATCCGCTCAGTGCTACCGCCTCCACGCGGTCAGTACTGGGCCCACAGGTGGCTGTGGGCACCAAAGGGTCGCTCACGCGGCAATGGCTCCGTCTTCAGGCGGCGGATGGGCGACTGGCAGCACATTTCAGGATGGCTCTTCCCTACTGTCGCTCCCTCGGTTGGGCAAGGCTTGCATGCGCTTGTGCTGTGGGAGTGAACAAGTGCGAAAGTCTACGATTGAAAACACTCGGCGAAAGGCTGCGGCACCGTGCTCCCCCGTGGGGGAGGCTTTGCTTCCCAGCGAGCTGGATTATGAAATCCTGCTACGGCAGTAGCTGTTCCTCCCACGGCGAGAACGCGCGCAGGGTCTTCGTCAGTATGGGTGGCACCTGCAGCAGAGGCAAGAAGCCTTCCCCCAAGGCCTTCAGCACTGCCAATCATTGTTGTGACCAATAAGCTGCGGGAACTCCACGAATCCGGCCCCCACCGCCTGCAACTGGTGGGCAGCTTTGGAAGGCTTTACGCCATTACGTGCCTCAAGTGATGTGCCAGGTGGAAGAACTTGGACTGCTGCCTGCAAAATCATCGCAATCCTGTATGCTGCCGCGACAACCGCGCTACCAATCTTCAGAGGTTCGCTAAACAGCGCGGTTTCTTGCCCAAGGGTGTCCCTAAGCTGTTCCTCGAAGCTTGGAAGCTTCGTCCAAGTGAGGCTGCCCTGGTGCGTCCTTGCGTTACTCTTGACCCTACTGCATGACGTGGCGGCCTCCGCTGGCCACGACTTGGACTGCATTCCGGGTGAGAGTCGGCAGGCCAACAGTGTCAACGCTGGCTACCGCAGATGCTTTACCTGTAGAACGTGCACTCAGCAGTGGCGAAGCAAGGCCTACGTCCTTCAGAAGGCCAAGCAGACCCCGTGCGGTCCCAAAACTCGCGAGAAAGCTTTGCGTGCCAAGGTGCGCTTCTGGGCCAGAATGAGCCCGAAGTGGCGTAGCGATGTCACTAAGGTTTGGTCCCTCTCCTGCAAGGAGAAGCGCGCCCTCGATGCGGCAGTGGTGCCCACACGGCGGAAAGACTCCTGGATTCGCGACCTCACGCAGGAGAACATTCATCCGCACCCGCACCCTGGGCTATCTTTGTCTTTGCGGTCCCTTAATTCCCAAGGCGCTGCCCATGCCTGGAAACTCGACAAGGTCGAAGAGGAGAGAAATTCATGTGGTTGCCTGGCAAGAGCCGAATCTTGGCCCGCTCAAGTTGAACAGATGCTCATCCGTCTGGGTCTCTGCAGGTACCGTGCGTGGCACCAGCCGGGCAGCCGCACGGACACAAATCGCGGTGGCTTGATGGTCGCTGTTCGGGATGACATGCGTGCTTCCCTCTGCCATCAGTTTGTTGGTGAGTTTGGCAATCTCTTGACTGTCAACCTTGACGCCTGGCTCCTTACGGTTGTGTGGCGCCGTCCCTCGCCGGACACGGGTGATGCCAGCTTTGTGCAGGCCCTGGCTGAGCACCGGTGACTGGAACTGGTGTCCCGACGAGCACGTTTTTCTCCAAGGGGATGAGTTCTCTGCCAGTGTTTGCTCTGGACGAAAATGACTGCCCGCGCCCTACCCGCAGAGAGGGGCGAGCCATCGAGTACCTTGTTGCTCAGCATCTGCAGGCTCCCGAGCCTTCTCTTGACGACGAGATTTTCGGTGATCATTTTCTGTTTCGGGTGCAAGTCGTCCAGCAGGACGAAATCCTTCACAGCCGTCGCGTGCTGTGTCCCACTACCAGCTACTTGCCGCCAGATGGCATGTCCAGTGACGAGTGGAAGGCCGCTGTTGTTCGCGTTTGGGGCAAGGAGTGGCAGGCGGTCCCTTAGCACTCCCCCGGTTTCTAGACCCAGGGGTTCCCTGCCTTGCTTTGTCCAAGCCTTTGACTCTCGCACGCGTCCCCTGCGCAGATCCTTCGCCGCGCGCAGCATGGCAAAGCTTTGTGGCAGGGTGCGAGAGCTTCGCAGACTCCTGGCCCTTGACCAGGAGACCACGGCCATTCGACGCAAGCTGGACGTCCACTGGCCTCGTAACTGCCCGTGGCCAAAAGTTGAGGAGCATGCTCACCGTATGCTGGACGAGTATACCCAAGCTGAGACCCGCAAGGTCTTGCAAACTTGGCGTGCTGAGATGGCCAAATGCGGGCACCGGGCCACGCGATGGCTCAAGATGCCAAGACTGGGTACACCAGCTGCAGTGTTGAGGAGAATTTCCACTTCCTTCGCACCTTTTGGCAGCGCTACTGGGGCAGAATTTTGGTCGGGCGGAGACACGAAGTGGTTAATGTTTGGGCTCAGGCTGTGGGCCCCACTCCACGCCTGGTGTGGCAGGAGCTCCGTGGCAGCGAGCTTGCTGCTGTGGCCGCCAGCATGGCCGGCAGTGCTGAAGGCCCTTGTGGTTGGACGGGCAATGAAGCCGCGGCCATGCCCCTTGCTGCTTGGGACACTCTTGCCGAGCTTTGCCAATGCTGGCTCCGAAGAGGTGAGATCCCGAAGGTCTTCGCCCACATGCGCCAGGTTCATGTGCCCGAGCAAGGGGCGCTGGTTCAACAGGGCTGTGCCGTGGCCAAGCTTCGGCCCGTGTGGCGCATCATCTGCTCTGCCCTTGTCCGGCGTCTCAGGCTACTCGCGACTGGGCTTTGCAGTGCGTGCCTGGCACCTGTTACGGCGGCCTCAAAGGCAGGGAAGCTTTGCAGGCCGTGATTGCCTTGGCCGAGCATCATGCCGAGCACAAGGGCCCGATCATCGCCCTTGACTTAGAAAAGGCTTTCGACATGGTTGATCCCCGTCTGACCTTCGGGGCTCCCAGACAGTGGCTCTCCCTAGTCAAACGTGTTTGGCTGAACCAGACCAGATGGATTCAGTATGCCGGGCACACTCACGAGACGCCTGCTCGGGTGAAGCGCAGCATCCCACAGGGAGATGCATTGAGTCCCCTCGCCCTAATCCTTCTCCTTGCCGCCCCAGTCGCGGCATCCTGTCGTACTGCTGTCCAGGCCCAACGCTACATGCAAAGGTGGACCAGATGGTCTGCGAAGTTTGGTTTCTTAGAAAACTTTGATAAGATGGAAGTCTTGACTTCAGAGAGACACTATGGCGAGCTGCGCCGCCTGGGTTTTGCCGCTAGAAGTGCCTTATAAGACTGCGATACGCGTCTTAGGTGTTGACTTGCCTGCCCGCCTGCAGGACGTTGTCAGAGCGACGGCTGAGAAGCGCAACGAGGACGGCAAGGCCATAGCTGCTCGGCTCATGCGCATGCCCGCTTCGCTGCACGTCAAACGCAAGTTGTGGTCTTCCAGGGTTCTGAGTAAGATTTCCTGGGATCGGGGCCTTCGCTTGCCACGGGATGACGAGATCACTCAGTATGCTTCCCTTTACAAGAGGGTCACCCCCGCAGACCTTCCCTTGCTTCGCCCACCTCGCTGTTTGAAGGACCGAGTCAAAGCCACGAATTTCGTGCAGGATTTCAAGCTGGCAAGACTCTTTGGCGAGCCGTGCTTAAGCGACCTATGCTCTGGGAGGTTTCTGTTCGGAAAAATACCTGGCAAGGGGAAGTCCGCCAGTGGCTGTTGAAGCTAGGATGGTGCACCACTGCACCGTGGCAGTGGCAGCATCCGGCATGCGGCTATTTTGACATGAGTAGACCCCCACGCCCTGATGCTGACCATCGTATCCGTGAGTCCTGGCGCCGAGCTCAATTTGCCAAAGTTTTGGACCAAGGCCGTCATGAGCTTGAAGGCATCCCGGTGCCAACCTACTGTGAGCAAACTGCCAAACGCACTTCGGCGGCGTTTCGCCAACCGGTAGAGCATTTTCGCGGCATTTTGACAGGTGCTGCATGTTCGCTTGCCATGCAGAGAGCCATGCGTCAGCAGGGTGTGGGCAGTTGCTGTTGGTGTAGTTCAGGTGCAGTGCCTTGCTGGCACCATCTCGCTTGGCAGTGCCCTCATTTTCTCCCGAGTAGGCCCCCCACTGCGGCCGGCGAGTTGCAGTGCCGCTTCGGATGGATTCAGCGCCACGATGAGGCATACGGCACTGCCGTGCTTCGCCACCTTGCCGCTGTCAGACAGGCAGTGCCTGATAGGGTTTATGCTCCCCTCCCGTAGGTCTTTAGCTTTGGGTTTTGCCACCTGTAGGCCCGTGCGCGCACACAGATTCTGCATCGGCCACCTCGCTCAAAGGTTTCTTTGCAGTGCAGTGTATTGTCTTTGCGTCTTCACTTTCAGGTGTCTGTGAGACTGTGCTTGTCGCATGCGATGCTCCGCACCCTTAGGCACGTCTGACAGCCATCGCTTGAGGTTTTGCTGCCCCTAGGTGGTCGGCTTTCGGTTTAGTCCCCTTGTAGGCCCTGTGCACACAACCATGTCTTGTCTTGCTCGGAATCTGCCTGGCAGCGGAGTTTTCCAGGGCATCCTCATTTTGAGTACGTCTGTGAGGCAGCGCAGCGTGCAGCGCCTCACACACCTAGATACACCTAGGCTTGAGGGAGGCGGGGCTGCCCCGCCTCATCACGGCAATGGTATCTTCAGGTGCCATGTCGACCAAGCATTCGCAGCGAGCTGGATTCGATCAACCGGCATGCTGCGACCTTTGATTCCTTGATCTGGATCATGATTGCAGTCCCGGCCGTGTCCAGCTGACCCAGGGTACAAGCGTGGAAAAGAACGAGCCGAGCGACAACTGGTTTCGACGTGGTCAGGAGGAAAACCAAGTACGGAGACAAGTTGGCTGTGCCAGATGGATTGGTGGACGGTGTTTTACATGGAAACACCGGCTCCCGTCGCGATGGACAATGTTTCGCAAGCGGCTGCCTTCACCGGCAGGGCTTAGACGAGCTCTGCGACGACAGCGCCGACTGGCCCTAGCACCACAGAATGCTTCTGAGGAACGTGTTGACCGACCTGAACGCCCTCCTGGTGGCTGGTGGCACGGTGGGTGGCGACGTCTAGGGGTGCCTGTACTGCATTGATTGTGGCTGTTGCGCTGCATGTTCTCCTATACTTGGCGGGAGCTCTCCCGGCGAGCTCCTCACCAGCAGTGCCGCATTGCAACAGAAGTGCCGCATTGATGTGACGTGCGATAGTGCCTCTAACGACGTGGTCTTGGTCTTGTGGTTGATCGACTTCTTTTTCTTGGGACTGGTGGAATCGACTAAAGCGTCTTCTACGTGATGATTGGTGTGATGCTGCTCCTCGGCGGGTTCGGCAACGAATGCGGCGACGATTCAGGCGCCTTCTACATGATGGCAGTGAGGTTGGCTTTTGACCCCTAAAGATAAAGGGATGAGGACTAACCTCAAGATGCTACAAAAAGTTTTGACAAGAACGGGGCGAGGACCCGAGGACCTCAAGAAATGATTAACCAGATATTAACCAGCCAGGGTGGTGGACCCAAGAACCACTTAACACAGGCCCGTACTGGGCCCGCGACGTTGATTCGCCCGTGCGAATCGCCATGGATGCCGATGCCGTTGGCGAAGCAACCACTGCTGTGGCCAACTCTGTCAGCATTGTAGCAACGACTTTGACCTACGTGGTGGCTGGTCGTTTTGAAGTGATGAGGTAAATCATCGCATGTGTGAAGGCTTGTGGCAACGACTGCATGGAGTGCCTGCTACATTCTCTTGGTGGTGCTGTCAAACGTGTTGGACTTCTGCAGCGAGCGGTTCAACGTCCTTCGTGCGGCTGCTGGCGACGACTAGCGCGTCTACTACAAGATGGTTGCTGTAGTGCAGGCCCTCTTCAATTGTGTACTGCTACTTGGAGTGGTGGGCCCTCGCATGCAGGCGTCCGTTTCGGTGAAGCCAGTCACCCTGGACCCAAGAATGCAAACCAGGCCGCAAATCTTCTTAGCATGTTTGACTCCAGTTTACGTGGCACGATCCGAAAGATGATGGAGCAGCTCGTAAAGCAAGCGGTGCAGCAGGCCTTGGAGCAGGCGGGCATCGGTAGTGAGACCAGTGTTGCGAATAGTAGACCAACGTCAGTCTCTCCAAGGGCTTGGCAGAGGAAAATGCAAGGCTAGCCCGAAAGGTGCAAGTTGCTGGGGGCTCGCAAGGGTTGCCCCCTAGGGCAGCTTTCTGGCTCTGTCACCGTCCATGCTGACTACTGGCTGGGTTAGACAAAAGGTATAGCCTTACACCAGGAGTCTGTTCCTCGTCCACTACAGAGTGCAACTGCGACAAGCACCGTCACCCTCCACCCGCGCCACGTCCTGGAGCAAGCTGTTACTGAGTGGACTGGCCGCTGGCAAGCTCGCGCCGTCGACTCCGCTCTTTTCCAGTACTACCCCGACAAGGTCCCTAAGCCCTAAGCCGGCGGCGGGCTCGTTGGACGAGAGCTTTTGCAGATGAACTTTGTCGTGTGGCAAAGACCATGGTGGGCAAGATGCTGGGCTTGGAAAGTGGTGGGCGGCTGAAGAGCTATTCCGCCTACCAACCTCTGATGGCATGGTTTGGCATTGCTGTGGACCGCCATACTCCGCGCCGGCGAGGTACCTACTTCCTGGAAGTGCTGCATTGTGGCGCTCCTGGAGAAAAACTACTCCGGGCGAACACCGGCCGATTGCCTTGGTGGTTTGGCGTCTTGGAATGAAAGTGATAGTCCAGAGACTTCGCCCATGGATGAGTTCCTGGCTCACCCGTTTCACCTTCGGTGGCGTGTCCGGCTCGAGTGTCATCGACAGCCATGCTCTGCTCGACTATGAGCACGGTCTCCCAGGACCTCGCGAAGTTCTTCGACAGCCTCGATTTTAGTTACGAGTCTTAAAGCACCGCTTCAAAGTTCTTGGATTATGGCACATTGCGGGCCAGAGGGGCCACATCGATACCGGCTTCTCTGCGGAAATCAAGCTGCTGGCCAAGTGCCTCAGCATGTTGCCGGGACAGGTTGCTAGAGAGCACCTTTGATCAAGCAGATGCTTCTCCCGAAAATTGCTTGGTGTGCAGGCGTGGCATCCTGCGACCTCAAGGCCTTACGCAGCCTTGGGTATGACGTGGTCCCCGCCTTCTACCCCCATGCTTTGGTGGACACGCCAAATGTAATTGTTCTGCAGTTGCAGGGTTGGAACCATGCACCTGTGGGTGCTGCTGTGCTTGCAACGTTGAAAGCTTGTGTTCGTTGGCAGTTTCGTCGATCCCAATGGCCCTATGGCTTGAAGACATCAGCATAGGCTTTGCTTTGAGACCAGCTGCTGAGATCCTCCTTGGCGTGCAAGCAGTGCTCCGTTATAAGCTGGTGGCTTGGTCCTCGAGGCACGTCTTTCCGCGGCATGACATGCAGGGCCGAGAACGCTCTTTTGTGCTTGGCGAAGACAGTTTTCGTTTGTTGAAGCAGTGGGTCGAGTTTGCACTGGCCAGCTCGGCTCTGCAGACGTGCGGACGTGTGGTGAAGACTTACCATCGTCCTGAGAATGACAGCTTGGCTCAAGGGCTGTCCGTGCCGCGACCTCTTGCGCACCACGTATAGTGGTCTTACAGAGAGTTGTCGCTAAAGGCATTGACAAATGGGCTTTCCAAGCGGCTCTCGCCACAGGTTGCTCAGTGTGGTCTCATTTTCCGAAAGCGAACTTGAGTGTCGAAGATGCTAGAACTGTGTATGTGCGGCAAAAGACGTCTTTCGAGACCTCACTTGGTTTGGTTCCTTCAGACCGAGCACAGGAAAAACTTTTTGTTGTGACTACGCCGGAAGTTCCACCGCCTCCGGCGACCGCTGCAGTGGGCGACTACGTCGCGGCGTCCCAGCAGATGATCCAGGTGGCACTGCAGCAGTCCAGCCGGGTGCTCCTCGCCACCGAAGGCAGCTAGAAGCACCAACTGTCGAGCCGCTATAGTGCTCCTACTAAGTGTACGGTTGCAGTGGATTGTCAGCCGGCCCCGTTCCTCCTTATGGCGGTGGCAGTGAACTACCTGGCTGGCAGAGACGTATGCTGGATCTTTGTGCTTCTCTTCACGTGCATTGGCAGCTCGAGTTCGTGTGAGTCGCTTCGTGACCCCGCCTCCGTATACAGCCAGGAGAGATTGCGTGCCGTCAGCAAACGTGCCGATGAAATTGCACAGCGCATCGTAAACCGTCGATGTGCTGGCGCGACGCGACCTGCTTGGATTGCTACTCTGGAAGCAGCGAAGAGGTGGGAATTACAGGCATTCACAACTGCCGTGCAGATCGCCGAAGCTTATCTATGCTCAGCATGCGCAGGGGCTTCGATGATGGCGGTGATTTTTGGGCGTCGAGGGCATCTTTGGTGGCGTCGACGGCAAATACTTAAAAGTGCCTTTGAGTGCCCCGTTCTCGGTGACTACTACGAGAATTTGTGGGGTAGCGTTCCTTTGTTTTGTTGGGTCGTCAAGTTGCCCTTCGGGCTTCGGGACACTTCAATGTCAGAGTGCAAGCCTGCATGAGCCTGCATGAGGCGGGTCTGTGACCCGTGCCTGTGGGCATTGCAGCGATTGCAATCGCCCACGGAAAAACCGAGAACATTCTACCCTAGACTCACCTGTGATCTACCACTAACCGTCACTAACCTAAGTCTTGACTCCTAAATCCCAAGCCCTGACGCCAATCAAAGAACCTTGGAACTCAGGCCTTAAACCCTATGGACAATGGAACCCGAAACCTTAAAGCTTCCTTCTTGGCAGACCTCGGGCGATCTCTTATACATCACGCCGCAGGCGCACGTTCTGCTGCGTTGTTCCTTCGGTAGTATTTATCGTCCCCGTACAATTTAGCACAAGACTCCATAAGACTCCATATACATATTTTAGTGACTCTTAAGGCCCATATGTTAGTCGAGAGCTTGGAAGGGTTTAGGCTGCCCGGGGGTGGTGGGGGAGTGTACCAGCCGTGCCCATGTGCTTAGAAAGTGACACCTGGACTTGGAGGCAACAATGAAGCAGGCTCCAAACCATTGCAGAATGGTTGGCTTAGCGGGTTGGGAACTGACGGAGTTTCTGCAATTCTCCGTCTGATGCCCCGCAGTGTGCTGTTTGCTTCGATTTCCTGGTGAATTCAATGGTTTCGCGGTTTCGCAGGGTGGCCTCGTTTCAGGTCATAGAAGCAGCGGAACATGGTGGCTCCTGTGATTGACGATAGAGGTGACAGGTTATTATCTGCATCTTTTTCGAACCAAACCAAACGCAGGTCCGGATGGCGACTTAATTTTCAGGTGGCCAGCGGGTGTACCGACGCTTGACTCTCTCTGTTTCGCCGAGCTTTTCAAAACTAATCCTGGGCCTGAGGTCGTAGACTCTGCTAAACGCCCTATAGACCCCAAAAGCCGAAACCCTTAGAGCCCAAAAACACTGAACCGCCCCCTTGCAGGATGCGCTGGCTCCTTCGGGAGGCTGTGTGCGGATAAAGCTTCTTGTCTGCTGCCCAGCTTGCCTCCACCGGGCTTCGCGGCTTTTTGTTTTTTGCTTCTGTTGCTGTTTGTGTTACAGCGTGCACAGTAAGCATCTCTGAGCGATGGCCTCTTGTTTTGAATCCTTCTCATGATCATCATTCGCATTTCTGTTTTCGTCGCTGCAGGACCAGGCCATTGTGGATGCAGATGGGTATCCCTATGAACAAGATCCTTTCGTGCCGTACTCTTTCGCCGCGCGCCCGGAGTTGCGACAACCACGAGATCCATTAAAGGTGAGATCAAGGCGGGGTGAGACAGGACTTTCTTTGTTTGGGGGTCCTCTCAACCTATCTGCATCGCTCCTTTGCAGTGTGATCGGTTTTTGTTGCAGGCCAATTCTTTCCAAGAGGTTCCTTCCGAGATTTCAGTAAGAGCTTGTTGCTGGAGCCGAGTTATGCAAATTACCTATGAGAGATTGTAGCCGTTGTAGCCTCTACACTGTGTAGGGCTCGATGCCAACAGCGGAAAATCGTTGTACCTGAGAACTGCGGCTTCTGCTCAGGCTTTTGAGGTTAAATTATGTGTGCATACATACATACATGTGTGTGTATACATATATATATACAATAAGTAGAATTTATAATGTTAAAGGTATGCATTGACAGTGCCATAATGGATACACAAAGAAAACAAACTGAATAAAGCTACAACTGCATACAATATTGGACACGTGTAAAGATAAATATGAATACAGAAAGAAAGAACGAAATAACTAAAGATAGACACAAACAAATACATAGATACACTACATATATATATATATATTCCCCTTGAGGAATCCTGTGTGGAAGACTACCAGCCGCCGGAGTTGCGTAGCCAGCGGCCCAGGATTATAGCTCGGGATTGGAACGAGTTGTTCGATTTCATAGCTGTGCATCTTGAAACCCTACACCCTACACCCGAAACCCTAAATAAACCCTAAACCCTTGAAGCCTAAGCGTAAAGCCCCAAGAGTTTGAGGCCTGTCGAGTTGTCGTGATGTCGTGGCATTTCATGGCGAATCGCTTGCACTGTCGGCCGACAGATTGTGCTGGGTCTTGAAGTCTTGAGCATGCCAGCGAGTATTCACAGAGGAAAGTCAGACCTTAGGTGACGGTGGCATTGCCTTGAGCAGTTGAGTAGGGATGTGTCAAGAGTAACTTGGCAAGGAGTTTATTGTGTTTCTGCACATGCCGCAAGCTCGTTGCCCGGTAGCTGCTAATGGGTTCCCAACTATAGGAGGGTGCCGCAGGGTATGCTTGCCTGTTTCAGGGTTTATTTTCTCGTGATTCTTGCCGTTTACAATAGTGGACTGGCATCACAGTGTCTCACATCTTCAAGCAATGGGCAGCTACCATTCCGAAAAGTCTACAACCCGCGCAGCCAGCCATGTGCAAACAGAACGAAAAAAACAATGAAGACTCGAGCAACTTCAATAACGGCAGCACCAATCATTGCTACAGACATGTTATTCATCAGTCTCACCATTAGACTCATTAGACAACCAAAGAAATCATAACCTCAACCTCTGAGACTGAACTGAGGGAAACAAAGCCAAACCTTAAACCCTAAACTGCCCTAAACTAAACCTAAACCCTGAACACGCCGAAATCGTCTCAGAAGATGTTCTCGGGCCAAAAAGGTTCGGATCCCCCAAACAATGCGGCGGGGGTTGCCGAGCGCCCAGACTTGGCTTCCTGAAGATTAGTCTATGTGGTGTAGTCAGTTTTTGTTTTTGGTTAAACCAATGTTATAACTAGGATCTTATAAAATAACCCCAGAAGGGAACCACAATGGAGACTACAGGTAGTCATGTTTTTGGGCTTAGGGTCTAGAGTTAGGGTTTCTGAAGATTCGGGCCTTTTTTCGTTGACTAGGGTTTCAGTTTTTGGGTTTCAGTGTTGCGGAAGATGAGTTCGTCTTTATCGGGGTCCATAGGGCTTGATTGAGGGCTTCACGAGCCCCTCAAAGCGTTTTGTCAGCTTGACGTAAGTTTAGGGGTCCATTGCCATGTCAAAGGTTCCTGTTTTTTTTTGAGGATCGCAGTATTCACCATGAGATGCCTGCATCGCGGAGCTTCCAGCCTCGGGACGGTCGGCGACATGTACATCGTGTGTGCGGATTTAGCATCTGAAGTCTCCTGGCCTCCGAAGTCCTAAACTGCAAATCCTATCAACCCTAGGCCCCTGGACACTAAGCCGCGCGGGTCATAAGCTGATCGCCGCAACTTCAGGAGCTGATGCCGACTCTACGCCTAAACTTCGACGAGGATGGCGTAGGGATGCAGGGTTTAGGATTTCGGGTCTATAGGGTTTTGGTTAATTTGGGACCCTCACGAGGTCACTAGGTCTGCTTCTCGACGACGGTGAGATTCAGAGTTACTTTGATAGTTTGGTGATACAAATCCTGCATGACCCATAATAAGGAATATGCCATAATTCCCATAGTTTAGGGCCCTTAAGGTAATGCAGGATTTATATCATCAACAGTAGTTTGGTCCGAGTTTTCAGGGGTCCTGAACCTAGCTCTGGCTTTCGGGGTGGGAGCTCAGGGCTCCGGGAGGCAGTGCTTGTGTCAAAGCCCTTTAGACCCTAAGCCCTAAACCCTGACCTTCAAAACTAAACCCTAAGCCCTAAGCCCTAAACCCTAAACCCTAAACCCTAACCTTCAAAACTAAACCCTAAGCCCTATAGACACTGAGCCCCTCAGCCCCAAGGCCCTACACCCTAATGGGTCGAAGCCTTGTTTCGTGGGCCTCGAGATCCCGACACAAGCTGGCAAGGTAGCATCTTGCAATACCATATAAAGGGTTTAGGGTTGACGGTCAAGGCTTCAGGGCTTAGGGTCTAGGGGTTTAGGTTTTACAGTTTAGGGGTTTGAGTTTGGAATCCGTGGCAAAAGGGACGAAGTATGATCCTTTCCCCAGTGTTTTACTTGACTTTCAGATTAGCGGGGACGGATGCTCAGTCTTTTTGGCCTTTGCTGTAATTGTTTTATGTTGTTTTGTAAGGCTGCTGAGGCCGTTCTGAGGCTTCAGGTGGCTCTTCTTGATAGAGGACTTAGTTTCGTGTCGAAAAAGTGTCAAAGTGTGGGATCTAGGGCGTGCAAAGGCTTAAGGATTTGCTCAGGGGTTTAAGTTTCGGCGGCTTGTGGCTTGAGCGGAAAGCTTTTCAAGGTTGCCTTTGGGACATTTTGCATGTTCCCTTAATGAGCCTAAGTTGCGACCAGGATCGTATTTACGAATATTGTTCAAAGGCTTTAAAGGGCCAACCTAGTTTTTTGCTCGTGCCAGGAGGTCCGACTCGTTGATCCCACCACGGCAGCAGCGACGCTGTCGGCGAAGTGGCTTGGCCCTAAACCCTGAAGCCCTATCAGCTAAAGCTTCAACCCTGCGCGATGAATCCCCTAACGTACTACATAAGTCTGAATCCAAATCCCAACCCAGGTCTAGCAAACTCCTCCGAGCCCATGATGCATGCTCATGGTTTGTCCGCGATCCGATCCTCCAACCCAACGCAATCTCCAAGCCTCAAGCCCAAATTCTACCATCATCCATCAGCAGCCTTGAACGAAAGCCCTACGCCCTCTACCCTGCTACTTAAACCCCAACTCCTAACCGTCAGCGCCAACCCGTCCCTAAGCTCTAGGACGGTCCCCGCCGCCGGGGGCAGCATCCCGCCGACGCAGATCATCGACCTCAATCCGGTGAGCTACTCAGGGCCCGGGGGGTCCTTGGACGTTTGTTTAGGGTTTCGTGTTTAAAAGGGGGGGTATAGTTACTAATGGTATCCCATGCCTAAATAGAAACATGCTGCAAGGGGGGGGGGGTTTAGGTCTGAATTACCGACAACACCTTAACACCTTATTCTATGATTCAAGTTTGATAATGTAGACATACGACACGGTCCGCTGTACTTGAAGCAGGTGCAGTGTTTCCCAAAGCAGCGGGTACGTCACACAGTTGAGGTTTTGAGTCTTGAGTGAATGAGCCGCATTTGCTTCAACATGCGTTTTAATGTCAGTATTTGGTTGTCATGCTGAGGCTCTGAGCTATAATCCCAGGCGCAGGGTGGCACGTTCCGCACTATCCTATCAACGTTATTATGATAATCATATCACACTTCTCACTGGTCTCGTATATAACCTCCCATATGTTGGAAGGGCACTCTGCACCAGCCCAATCTCTGGCAACCCGCAATCCAATTTGGACGGGGCGGGGGGGTCAGCAAACCCCTCCAAGAACGTGTGGGTCGCTGGGCAGGGGGTTAAGCGGTGAAACAGGGAATCCCTGTGAGAAGCTTTGACCGCTTCGGCCGGGGCCGAGGCGAACAACACAAAAATAGCCTCTTCCAATTTCTATGGCGCCCTATAGTAGGGCTTGATGCTTTGGGGTTTTCAAGGTTCAGGGCATTTAGTTTGGGTTCGGAGTTTATACTGTATAGGGCGGCCCTTAAGAAAGTCTATTTGCAGCAGACGGTACCCCCAAAGTATCGCGTGAAGGGTGCAGGGTGTGTTGGGGTGCTGATCAGCTCGTCGTACTGGTCCATGGCACTGCGTTCAGGATGGAACTTTGAGGCGTAGTAGAAATGGTTTGAGCAAGACTGACTGAGATCCCTTTGACGAGTGATTGACTTTCAAACAAAGTTGATGTGCTTCAATCAGCTTACGGGCCGGAGGTGAGGATTGACCTCGACTACGCAAGGATCTGTGCTTCTGCTCAACTCCACGGCACAATGCCCTGTCGCCTGCAAAGGCGATGCTGCGAGTATGGGACCCAAACACGGGTGCAACGGTCTCTCGGCGAAGCGATTTTGTGACATCTGGCGGCTTCTAGCGATTCTGGCATGTCCGGGCTTGTTCTAAGCGAATCGGGAGTCTTCTGCGGGAACATCCTCATTAAGCTTAGGTGATATAGTGCACTCCAACTGCCACGAGGACCTTCGCAGCAAGTCTGGTCAACAAAAACCCATGCGCTGATAGGAGCCTATTGGTACCGACGACTAGACGTAGACGAGGATGTCAGTGGTCAGTGATGCCAATGGAGTTTCTGACATTGCTGCTGTCAATGGTGATGCCGAAGTTGATGCCATGCGGAGGACTACCATGCATGAGCACAGGATACTACTGACGATGATGCTGTTCATGCTGGTTTATCGACCAACATTAAACTACATAATGCCCTAGGCCTTTCGATTGTTCTACAGGCGGGAAGAATAGAGTGGGGTTTGCAATCTGTTTGGGTTTGTTTTGATTTGTAACTATTCCGCCCCGCCCCCTGCATTTTTTGTCCGTGGGCTATGGGACCACACCAAAGCCTAAAACCCCAAGCTCACAAATCACTATTCCCCTCATCTCCAATCCACCAAGCGTTGCAAGCCCTAAGCCCTAAAGCCCACGAGCTCAGGTGCTGGATGTCACACCGCTTTCAGAGCTGGAAGCGCAGACATCGTGCCCTCGGATTCGGGGCTCAGAAGTAGGGTAATTATTGTGACCCCGAAATAGGTTAGTGCTGTAGTATAGGGGCCTGAATCAGCATAGAGGTCTGGAGTATTCTATGCTACGCTTACTATGGTATAAATATCCGCAAATCCCCATTTCTGCTGTTCAGGTTCCTACTGTATGGTGCGCTTATCACTCGAAAAGGGAGTCTGGAACTTCAATGTGGGTTTCCGAAAATAGGGGACCCTGATATAGCACCATTAATTGTAGGATCCTTGTTATAAGAACCCCAAAATAAGGTACCCCCTATTTTCCAAAACTCCCAAATCCTCAGCCACAGACACTCTGAGTTGGCTAAGGCACTTTGCGCCTGTGTGCCGCAAAGTTGGCAGGTTGAGAGGGAGGATGTTGGGCCAACGTACTGTCCAAGTCTCTGGGGCTGAACCCTGTAAAGGTACTACAATACAAAAATACTCTAGTATTCTCGATCTAAATATTTTTTCTATCCGCAGTTAGGAGATCATGCATTGCAACCCTAGGATGTCGGCTCTCGGGAAACTGAAACAAAGACAGGACAAGCAGGATCGACGTAACGTCGTTCGATAGCAAGCCACGAAGCCCAAAGGCTTCTCAGCCCTAAGCCCCCAAATTTATTACTAATTACCCCAAACCCTAAACTTCCCAAACCCCGAAACCCTAAGCCCTGAACGGCAAACCTAGAACCATCCGAAGTTCCTGCACCCTACACCCCTAAAGCCTGCCTGAGCTACTAAGCCCCAAAGTTGAACCCTGAACTGAACCCTAAGCCTCTCTATAAACCCCTAAACCCCTAAACGCCCCTGAGCCCTAAACCCTAAACCCAGAAGAGCCCTAAACCGAGGCCCTAAATCCAGAAGCCCTAAACCCCAGGGACCGGGAACTCGCAAGTTGAAGCAGGTACGAGCTGGAGATCCGTGGTGACGTCATCGAGGAGGGCATGCTTCGGGGTTTAAGTTTTGGGGATCTTCCGTAGATATTCAGAAGTCTAGTCTGGACTGGTGTTTGTTTGCTTTTCATGTTGTGTGCCCCCTGACCCTAAACCCTAAGCCCTGAAAAACCCCGATAGGGCTTTGCGCCACAAGCTCTGAACGCGTCTCGTAGAATTTCCACAGCGGTCTCTGGGGGCATTACACTACTTTGTTTTCCAGCGGCTTAGGGTTTGGGGTTCAGGCTTTCAGCTAGGGTAGCATCCCATCGGCAAACCCTAAAGGCTAACTCCTAAACCTTCAACGAAGAGCTGCCTTGAGGGTCCACGCATCGAAAAGTTTTGTTGCACAACCACTGTAATTAGGCCAAAATCCGAAACCCTAAATCGCCGTCCCCCCATAAAAAGAAGTTAACGCGTAAACACCGCTGCGTGCCCAAAATCCCAACCCTAAGCAATGGCATGTATTGATCTCCAACCTCCCTGAAAGTCGGGCCACGGGCCCAGCCTCAATTCGCACTTGGCACTCAGGCTTAGCCCGGATCAAGCCTGAAGCCCTAAGCCCTTGGGTGCGAAGGTTTTAGGGTTCTGGGTTGTGTCGGTGCTTTTTGGGATGGGGTTTGAGAGTTCCGGCTTTGATGCCCATGGCCAGGACGTCTCGGGGAATCCCTGGGCGGGAGGTGGGCTTCGGGCTTCGGGGGTGGAGGCTTATTGGTTTTCAAACCTCTGATGCACTTGTAGGAAGTTGGGAATCAGAGGTCCAAGAACAAGACGTGCGGACAGAGCTCACTAAATAAACAAGCATATGCATGTCGTGTTCATGCGTGTATGCATGTAAGTCAATATGTGAGTGGGTAAGTAAGTGGGTATGTATTCAAGACGAGCAAGCAAACAAGCAATTAAGCAAGCAGGGAAAGGGCAAGCAAGTAAGTAGGTAGGTAGGATGGCCGGTCGGTCGGTAGCTAAGTAGCGGGTTGGGTAGGTAGGTAGGTAGCTAGCTAGCTAGCTAGCTAGCTAGGTAGGTAGGTAGGTCGATGGGTAGGTAGGTTGATGGGTAGGTGCGTAAGTGGCTAATTGCAGCAATAGGTCAGAGCCAATATACGCTCTGTGTGTAGGTGGTATGTATGTGTATATATATATATATGTATATATATGTATGTATGTATGTATGTATGTTCTAGAATATATATATATATACATACACATACATATATATATATATACACATACATGCATACATACATACATACGATGCCGGTTCTCGGTTCACCGACCCCCCCTCGCCCCTGGTATCCCCCCCGGCCCGGTTCCAGACAGACCAAATCCCTGTGACTGTGCGCACTTCTTCCATATGGCGCCTCCAAAACCGTCAAATGTCACGAGTACTTCTTCCCAAACAGCCCAAGCAGACCCAAACACGCAGGGGTGACCCACCACAAGCAATCCCAAACCCACACCACGTCACAGGGCGGGAAGGGGGCAACCGCCCCAAGCAGACCCAACCCCGAACCACACCACCAAGGAAGGGGGGAACCACCCCACAACCACACCACACCACAGTAGGGGGAAGCATTGGGGGGGGGGGGCGGGGTGGCCGGCCGCACATACGTATGATCCCGGTTCGGCTGTGTTGCGGTGTGTTTCCGGATTTGGGTCTGCTCAAGGTCCCGCGCTCCCTGTGGTGTGGTGTGGTTCGCGGTTTGGGTCTTTATATCTGCGTGTGTCATGTAGACTCGTGTATGTTCTCATGTTTAGAAGTTTTGGAAACAACTGTATGTGTTTGTGTGTATGTATACATGTATGTGCGCATGCATGTATGTAAATGATATAAGTATATATATATATGTATATATATATATATCTATCTATCTGTGTGTATGCATCAATGCATGTATGCCCGTCTGTCTGTCTGTCTGTCTGTCTGTATGGATGGACGGACGGATGGATGTATGCATGAATGGATGGAATCATGCATCGATGCACGTGTGTTTGTTTGCTTGCATGCATGTGTGTGTATATATATATATATGTGTGTGTGTGTTTGTTTGTGTTTGTTTGCTCGTGTTGCTTGTTGGTTTTTATTCGCTTGTGGTTGCTATATTGGTTTGGTTTGTGTGTGTGTGTTGGCTTGTTTGCTTGGCTGATGTTTTTGTTTCGCTGTTCACTTGTTCGTTGGCTTACTCGCTAAGTTTTTAACATGTTTTCGTATACATGTGGAGAGACCAAAAGTGTGCGAGAGAAAGGGGCTCACACGTGGAAGCAGAGCTTGAAAGACGGGAAGGTAAAGATGTGTACTTAGCCTGTTGGATGGATAGGTAGAGACAGACAGACAGACAGACAGACAGACAGACAGACAGACAGACAGACAGACAAACGGACGGACGGACGGACAGACAGACAGACAGACAGACAGAGAGACAGAGAGACAGATAGACAGACAGAGAGACAGAGACACAGACAGAGACAGAGAGACAGAGAGGCATATAGAGATACATCGATGGATGGCTGCTAGCTGGATGGATGGATAGATTGATTGATACTTGACCAGAAGAGTTCATGAGGACTAGGCCCCGAGGCCTTGAAGGCCCGAAAAGGCCTAAAACCTACTCCTGGCAGGTAGTGTTGTCTTCAACACGCAGTGCTCCATCTACGGCTGCGTCGATGCCACAACGGTGCGGGGCTTTTCGACGATAGGAGCTTGGAGGCTGCTGCTTGAAGCTTCAGAAGTCTCCTTGCTTCGTTTGAGTTTGAGAGTTGGCCAGAACTCAGCAGTTGAAGCCTCAGACATGCTCAGACGAGTGAGCAGAGGAAGGGAAGGTCGCACGGGCAAGACTTCGGACCACGACTGCTACTCGTGTTCGTTTGTGCTGTCGGTCGTCGGTGCCACTCTAGTGGGCTGCAATTGCGCGGTGTCATAGTTGGTGTGAGTGGTGCGTCACAACCGAGCATAACCGGATAACTTGCCAAGAATCGCCCGAAAGCTTCAGATTTCAAGCTCTCTGTGTCTTCGCTTGAGGCGACGACGACACAGGACGCGCACCGGCTTCTTTAATATCCGATTTAAGGTCCATAGGCTCAAGTACTTGGCTTCTGGTTCTTGATGCCGGAGGCTGAGGGTTAAAGGGTGTAGAGATTAGGGCTGATTAGGGGGCTGAAGCCAGGGTTTAGGATTTATACGATGTAGAGGTGAGGCTTCGGAGTTCAGAGTCAGAAAACCATTCTTGTATAGCTTAGGAATGAGGGTTTAAGTTTTAGGGTTGGGGGCTTTCCGGAGCCCGATCTAAACACCGCGATTTGGCATTGAGAGCTCAGGGCAGGTGGCTGAAAGCCCTAAATCCTAAAGCCCCTAAACCCCAAAACCCTACGGGATTTCATGAGAACTACATTCG